GCTCGCTCTCCCGCGGGCTGCGGGGCCGGGCTCGCCCCGGCGCTCTCGGGAAGAAGGAAGCGGGGGCCGAGGACGCCAAGTTCCCTCAGCAGCAGCAGCAGCAGCAGCGGATCCCGGCCGCAGCGGAGGCTGCGTCTCGGACGGGACAGGAGCGCGCGCCGCGGCGGGGCGCACGGCCGGAGCGGCCGCGGCGGGAGGCGCCCGGGCCTTCCGCTCTCGGCGAGGCGGCGGGCCGGGACCCCCATGAGACGCGCCCGCGAGGGGCGCGGGATCCGAAGCCCGGGAGTCGCGCGGCGGAGGCGGAGGGCGGCGCTGCAGCTGCCGGAGCTTCAGAGCTGCCGGCAGGCGGCGGCGGCGGCGGCAGCAGCGGCGGCGAGAACTTGAACTTGGCGTCGGGAGCGGGCGCCCCGGACGCCCCTCGCCGGGGCCGGGGCGCCGAGGGACCTGGGCGGCAGCGCTGCCCCCCGAATGGCCGCGGCGGCGGACCAGGCTCCCGCGCCGCGGCCCTAGGCGGCCTCTCGCCATGGCCAAGTGGCTGAACAAGTACTTCAGCTTGGGCAACAGCAAGACCAAGAGCCCGCCGCAGCCGCCGCGGCCGGACTACCGCGAGCAGCGGCGCCGAGGCGAGCGGCCCTCGCAGCCCCCCCAGGCCGTGCCGCAGGCCGCCTCGGCCGCCTCAGCGTCCTGTGGTCCGGCCGCCGCCTCCTGCTTCTCGGCCTCGTCGGGCTCGCTGCCCGACGACAGCGGCAGCACGAGCGACCTCATTCGCGCCTACCGCGCGCAGAAGGAGCGCGACTTCGAGGACCCCTACAACGGGCCGGGCTCGTCGCTGCGCAAACTGCGCGCCATGTGCCGCCTGGACTACTGCGGCGGCGGCGGCGGGGAGCCGGGCGGGGGCCAGCGCGCCTTCTCCGCCTCGTCCGCGTCGGGCGCCGCCGGCTGCTGCTGCGCCTCCTCGGGCGCCGGCGCCGCGGCGTCCTCGTCGTCGTCCTCGGGCTCCCCGCACCTCTACCGCAGCAGCAGCGAGCGGCGGCCCGCCACGCCGGCCGAGGTGCGCTACATCTCCCCCAAGCACCGCCTCATCAAAGTGGAGAGCGCCGCGGGTGGCGGCGGCGGCAGCGCGGGGGACCCTGCGGGGGGCGCCTGCTCCGGCGGCCGCACCTGGAGCCCGACGGCCTGCGGAGGCAAGAAGCTGCTCAACAAGTGTGCCGCCGCGGCCGCCGAGGAGAGCGGGGCCGGCAAGAAGGACAAGGTAGGGCGCCGCGCGTGGGGAAGCCGAATCCACAGCCCACGTCGGGCTGGGAGCCGCGGCCAGGGCTGCCGCGCAGCGCGCCTCGGCACTCTCCTAGCTCGGTATCCGCCTGCTGCCCCTGAGCGCCCCTCTCTGAACCCACAGCCCGAGGCACGCCCCTGCCCCACTCCGCACCCATCTGCCTTGGGTCTGGGGCTGGCCAAGCCCTCGCCCGTTGTCACTCGGCAGGCTTGGTGGCACACGCGGACCGGCCGTCTGTAAACCTGTGACGTCAGTCTCTCTAACCCCCCCGGCGCTGCCCACTCCACTCCCGGGCTAGATTTCCGAGCCCGGGCGGCCCTTTGTGCTGGGGCTGCCCCGGGAACCCCCACGCGTGCTCGTGCGGTTGGAGTGCGTGACCTCCGAGAGCGCTCCCCGTGGAGCTCCCCTCGAGCCCGTCGGCTCCTCCTGCTGTCACTGTCTCCCTTCCGGGCCCCACCCCCACCACTCTGCCCCGGCCGGAGCGGCGCCTGGTGACAGCCCCTTCCCGATGTCGCCGGCCGTTTTGACCCCCTCCTTTGAAGCAGGCCAGCTAATTACAGCCAGGCTCCGTCCCCTCCTCCCCCTTCACACTCCTGGGAGCCCTCCCTTCCCACTCCTGGGAGCCCTCCCTTTCCCCATAAAATAATACTTGTTCTGTCTACTTCTGGTGGAAGGCAGTGTTTTGATTAAATCTGAGGCCCAGTGGGAGCGCGGGGTCCTTAGGGCAGGGCTGCGTGGCTGTCAGGCCGCTGCCTCTCTTGTTCTCCCGGCATTCTTCTCCCCAAGGTAAACTTGGACCCAGGCCTTTGCTGGGGAGACTGATAAAGAGCCGGGGATCCTTTTGGGCCTGGGTGTCCCGACAGGAGGGAGGCGGCCTCCTACCTGCCAGCTGGTGCTTGCAAAGGGATCTTTTCTTGTTTTCCAGGAGGGAGGAGTAAGGGGGCGCCCCTCCTCCAAGCTTTCTGCCTGGGGCCCCAGGGTACCCCACCCCCTGCCGGCCTGCCCAGGGTGGCATGGGCGGTCTCTACTGGACTCCACCTCTCTCCCAGGAGCCAGTGTGGGGAGACCGGTGGGAAGCCTGGACTCTGGGCTTGCTGGCCCGGGATGCCACGCCTCCACGGCTGGGAGCTGGGAGCTGGGAGCCAGGTGGCCACCCTGGGAAGGGGCAGACTCCCTGGGAGCCCCTGGGCTTGTACTGAGTCGCAGGCTCAGCACAAAGAGGCTCCTTTGCAGTCTTGGGCCCGGCCTGGGAGCTGTTTGTTGTACAAACAAACCTGGAGAACCTGGGGGTGTCCCTTGCAGCCCCTTTGTTGCCCCCGCGACCACCCCGAAGAGGCCAGATCTCCCTCTCCTGCTCCCCGAAGTTGTCTTTTGTAGCCTTCAGGGCTTCAATAAGCATTTTTTTTGCCCAGTTGCAACCAGAACTGTTTGAAATACAGCACAGAGGAGCAGTGCGTTTTATGGCTAGACCGTCAAGTGTGCTGAAGAGTTGGCTCAAGTCCATCTCCAGATATTTCTTGTGGGTGTTCTCGGTGCCCTACCCTGGCTGCGGGAGCAGGGCCCCTCGCGGAGCTGACCTCTGTAATGAACGCTGTGGCAGAGGCCGCTGAGCCAGGATAGGGGAAGTGTTATTCCTTCAGCTTGTGCTTTACCGGGAGAGTAATGATGACAGAAGAGGCCAGTGACTTAGGCTTCAGGGGGTACACCTCGGAGGCGGGGCCGTTATCTTGGCAGAGGGGCTCTGCCCGTGGGTGGCTGCGGGAGAGAGCCTGGTGCTTTAAGAAGTGCAGGTGGAGCTGCAGTGTCTGGGATGGACAGGTTGGCAGGGCAGAAGGCCCCGGTGAGGGAGGCCTGGTCAGCAGAGCACTGGGGGCCGGGGAAGGGCTTTCGCTGCCAGAATGGTATGTTGTTTGACCCTCTGTGGGTGCTGGGGGGAAAGGGGCTGAGAGTTTGCGTTCTGACGAGTTGCAGGACAATCTCTGGCTGCTGATCCTGCGACCTTAACTTTGAGAACTGCTAACGCAGCTTAGACTTCTCACCCCTCACCCTGGGTCTTCTGGTCAGGGTCAGCTGGGGGCGCGGAGACTCTGGATGCCCCGTCCCTGTCCTCTGTGTGTGGCCAGTCTCCCCCTGCCCCAGGCAGTCAGAGGCGGTCTGGTTTTCACAGTATTTCCAGCCAGACAGCTTTTGGAAGGCCAGGCGTCCTGCAGCTCCAGCCCTGAACCTGCCCCTCACCCATGGATCCAGGAAAACCTGCTTCTCGCACCTGGCTTGGGCTGCAGCCCAGCTCCCTTTGATCAGTTATGAGGGAAGAGCCTGAGACTCTTGGGTCTCTGCTGGACGCCTGGGTGCCAGGCCCTGTGTTTGTTTGTTTTTTTTTTTTTATCTATTTTTATTTTTTTTAATGACTGAATTATTTGAAAGAGTGACAGAGTGAGATTCACCTTTCATCCGCTGGTTCACTCCCCCAAGTGCCTGCAAACATCCAGGGCTGAGCTAGGCCAAGACTGGGCGCAAGGCACTCTGGGTGGGTGGGTACCTGGGCCAGCTTCGGCTGCCTCCCAGGCACATTAGCAGGAAGGTAGGGGGGCACAGGTGTCTCCGATGGTGACTTAATCCACTGGGCCATAATGCCCACCCCTTGTGTTTGCATTCGCGTCAGTGGGCTACTGGGGTGTGAAAGCTGGAGCTTCTGGTCAACAGACCCTCCGTTCAGTGCCTCCCGTGGCAGCCCCACCACCGTTTGTCTTTGGGGGCCCCTGTCCTGCCTCCCGTCACACACTTAGGGGTGTCCACCCCCTTCTCGCAGGCAAGTGCTGGGGCATACACACCTGGCCACCTCCCCCCGCCCCCACCATCAGCATCCAGTCTTGGCATTTCTCCTTCTAGAATCATTTCTTCCTGCTTAGGCCTTGGCCAGCTTCGCAGTGGTGATGTGCTCGGCGAGCCCCTGGTACTGTACTGTGTGTGTGATGAGGTGAGGATGTGCAGGGTGCCGAGGGCTCGTCAGCAGTCTCTGGCGTGAGCCCAGGGGAGGCTGTGGCGTGTATTTCCGTCATGTGTTTCGGTGGGTTGTTGCTCAGTCTTGAGAATCTGGGGAGGTCTTCAGGGGTACTGGGTGGCTTTAGAGTTGGAAGTGGGATTTCAGCACAGGGCCTGGGACAGTGACGGGCTGCAGGTCAAGATAAGTGTGTGTGTGTGCGTGCGCATGCACGTGTGTAACCATAGATAGGTGTGTGTGAAAATAAGACCTCAGTGTGGGGCATGTGCTCACAAACCAGAGCTTATATGCTGTGGCAGGAGCGAGGTGGGGACCAGAGTGGGGTCCCCCAGGCGAGCCCTTTAAGACTGGGGAGCCAGGGAGGATGTGCTCAGGGCCTCAGGTGAGGTTTCCTGCCCGGAAACCAAAATCTGGGGGCTGCGGTGCAGGTGGGAGATGGTGCACGCCCGAGCTACGGGGAAGACAGGTGCCACTGCAGCAGGGGCAAGCTGTGCTTTGCAGAAGACAATAGCGCCAGAAGCGGCCAGGGCCTTGGTAGGTCTCCTCCTCTGACCCCACCAGGACACGTATCCAGTTAGGTCTTCTGCTGAAGTCTTGCTGCTTTTATGGTAATGAAGTAAATGTTGTTTGCACCACAACGGAGAAAGTTGGGATGTAGCATGACATCAGTTTTCCCCAGGTTTAAACACAGGCTCGTGTGGACTGACACTTTATATTTTGTCAGCATCCACAGAGTTGAGTTAAATAACACGTTTGCCATAGTTACAGAATAAATAATATCATGTCTAACTTTTTTTTTTTTTTAACATCCAGCAGTTTTGGAGCTGTCTGCTAGACGGGGCATTCAGAGAGGAGTAAGTGGTAGCCAGCTCGCAGGGAGGAGGGGGGATCCAGAACTGCGGACTCGGCAGAGGCGGCCGGCTGCGGGGTGAGATAGTGGGGGTGGGGTGGGAATCGTGTCTGTACTGAACCCTGGGCAGACTTTTTTGGATCTTTATTCTGTAAGCAATGCAGTATAACAGTTACTTACATAGCATTTATATTGTATTAGGCATTCTAATGTAGAATTGAAAGTATGCAGGAAGTTGTGTGTAGGTTATATGCAAATATGTGAGGTCAGGGACTGGAGCACCCTTGGATCTGGGTGTCCGTGGGGAGTCCCAGAACCAATCCCCTGTGGGTTCCGAGGATTGAGCGGGCCAGCTTCTTAGGGCTATTCAGACAGGTGCAGCCAGAGACGGAATGGCAACCTGAGGAGTGCAGAGCCGCTGGGAGCCCCCGCACCCTGGGGAATCCAGGAGCCTTCAGAAGAAGGTGACCTCTGAGCTGACCCTGGCAGGATGAGTGGGAATTAATCCCCCCGCCAAGGCTCCCTGTGCACTGAGGGGCCAAGTGGCTTGAGAGCGTGGCAGGAGGCTCAGCGGGGCAGGTGGTGGGCGGGGAGGTTGGAGCCCGTGAGGGAAGAACCTGTGCCCCCATGCCTGGCTCTGGGGGCTTGTGCCTTGTCTTGGTCCTTTTACAGAAAATCGTTGACGTCTTGTGGAGCTTGATGGAAGCCAGGGTTGGACCGGAGTTGTCAGTCATTCCTGTTTGATTGACAGCCACAGGCTCCAGTTAAAATGTCATTGAGGGAAAGGGCAAGGAGGGGCCAGACCCAGTGGCTGCGGCTTGGCCTGGGACACTCTCCCCTCTGCAGTCCCATGCCTTGGAAGTGAGAGACGTGCTGCGGACAAATGCAGTGCTTCCCCTGGCTCCCTGCTCACCTCGCCCTTGCGTGAGAGGAGGTGTGGGGGTGCTATCAACTGTGGCTGCTGAGCAACCACCCCAAAGCAGCAAGCAGCAAAGGTTTCTTTCTTCCTTTCTTTCTTTCTTTCTTTCTTTCTTCCTTTCTTCCTTCCTTCCTTCCTTCCTTCCTTCCTTCCTTCCTTCCTTTCTTTCTTTCTTTCTTTCTTTCTTTCTTTCTTTCTTTCTTTCTTTCTTTCTTTCTTTCTTTTTTAGATTTATTTACTTTATTTGAAAGGCAGAGTTACAGAGAGACAGAGGCAGAGAGAGAGGGAAATCTCCCATCCACTGGCTCACTCCCCAGATGGCTGCAATGGCCAGAGCTGCGCTGATCCGAAGCCAGGAGCTTCCTCCAGGTCTCCCACGTGGGTGCAGGGGCCCAAGGACTTGGACCATCTCTTCTACTGCTTTCCCAGGCCATTGCGGAGAGCTGGGTCGGAAGTAGGCAGCCAGGACTGGAACCAGCGCCCATATGGGATGCTGGCACTGTATGTGGCAGCTTTACCCGCTGCACCACAGCGACAGCCCCACAGCAAAGATTTCTTAAAAGGCTGACTAGTAGATAGCCTTAGGCCTGCAGGCCATAGGCTCCACATCACCACTGTCCAGCACTGGCCTTGTCACATGAGAGCAGCCGCGGACAGAGTGCAGATTTGTGGAGATAGCTGTCTTGCAATAGAACTTTACTCGCAAGAACAGGCAGCTGACCTGTGGGCTGTGGTTTCCAATCTCTGCTTCCAATTACAGTCCTTGAGCTTGCACACCCGAGTAGTTTTTCTGGTCTCAGCTGGGCTCACTCTTGCCTGCCAAGCCAGCAGGGCTTCCTTGCATGTTTGGTTGGCTGGCTCAGGATGGCCTTGGGCTGTTCCCAGCGACCCCTCATCCTCCACACATGACCACATTGGTGGTGGCTGGGTCCGGTCCTAAGAAAGAGTAGAAACCCGTGAGGTTCCTGGAGGAGCCTGGCACACCGTCCCTCCTCCTGCACTGTTGCCTGAAGGGGTCCCAGGGTCGGCCAGGAGTCAGGGGGAGAGGTCGGGCTCTGGGGCAAAGGGCGGGCGTCCAAGCGTCTGTCAGTGGCCTCGTGTTGTCATGTGCTGTGGGGGTACAGGCGTACTTTAAGAAGTGGAGTGTGTGGATTTTGAAATAATTGCACATAGATTTCAAGGTGTTTT